TTTCCTAGTTAGTTAATGATAATTCTAGTATAAACAAGAGTTTTTGTAACCTTGAAGAAGGGGATTGAATATATTATTTGAATGAATTATTGAGAACCTTTTGTGGTTATCTTAAAAATCCAACCTTTTGTGGTTGTTTTATCAAATCCAATATCCGAATTTTGATACAATTCGGTGGTGGTCTATCATATCCTTGTTTTCCTACATTCAGTCATCTCATCTCTTGGTTGTTTCAGCATTAGAGCTACTACGTAGGAGTTGTGAGAGAGACTTTGTGAGATTGAGACGTGAGTCAATCTTTATTGAATACTATAGGATATGAACAGTTTAGTCCAATTGGATAGGATTTTTTAATAAAAAATTTATATTACCCCTATTGTCTTGTTTACATATTATTAGAAATGAAAAAATATATACATTTAAAAAAAAAATGTAATTTGCTAAAAATAGTCCATATTATATTTCGATATAACTATTACTCTTATGAGAAAAAAAAAATTAGGTGCATAGTATACTTTTTATTTTATTTTTTAAATATTTTATTCATTTCTAATAAAATGTATAAGACAATACAGGTAACACAAACTTTTTATTAACAAGGCTCACCTAATTGGACTAAATTGTCGGTATCCCATAGTATTGAAAGCAATTGTGACATACTTCAAACCTTAAGGACTACAGTAAATATCCCAAAGAAGATTAAGCATAATTAATTGTGTGGACTTAAGAGAAATGAACCAAGTTTCAGTGATGGCAAAATGACAAATTTCAGAAATTACCCTCGAAGCTTCATAAACCAATATTCTTAATATATATGAGTCTGCACAAATTCATCAAAATCTATCCCTGGACTCTTAGCACCTTCAATTGCCCTTAATATCTCAATGGTATAATTGACAATATTCATTCCTATTTATCTTTTTTTTAGGTTGAATGACATTTTTCCACCTACCTTTCTTTAATGTACAATTTCCCACCCCTGGTTTGGGAAACATACAATATCCCACCAATCATTAAAATTCAAATGTTTTTTAGAAAGTCTAGGAACTCTATATGTGAGAGCACCGGTGAACGACCACACAACTCGCCAACATCCTATTCGTGAATACCGACGCTAGATCATTGTTGGGCCTGATCGGTGATGTTGAATCTAGTTAAGTCATTACTTGCGACATTGAATCCGTTCAAGCCACTAAGCCATTGTGCATCCTCCATATGTGACACCGTTTTTGGCCGTGAGTTTCTTTTTGTTTGTGATTTCATCCCAAGCTGCGATGTGACGTCCTCCATCGATGGCCACCTATTTGGCTATAGATTTCTCTTTGGTTTGTGATTTTACTTTTTCCAATTAATTTTATTTTTGACTATTGGTATATGACTTTGATGTTGTATAGGTTTGAGAAGGTGAATGAGATTGTGATTTGGTGTATGGATGGAATTAGTAAGATTGTTGGGGTGAAGATGAGTTTTGTTGGGTTGAAATAATGATATTATGTTGTGTTGATATAAAGAATTTTGTTTTGGTCTTATCGGTTGATAAGATGAAATTTTGATTGAGTTTTACTTGAAGAAATTTTGTTCGGAGTGATGCAATAAAACTTTCGAGGTAAATTTGCAATTATTATGCATATTCTTTATTATTTTTAAAATTATTTTTGCATTAATTGAGGTTTTGTTTAATTTGATTATGAAGGTTTATTATATTATATTAGTAAGTATTATCTTTAACTAAGGGAGAACGAACTTTTCACCCCCAAGGTTAGGCGAAACGACACTTTCCCACTCATTAAGTTTCAAAATGACATTTTCCCACCCTCCGTCAGGTTCTATTAGTGTTTTCCGTTTTGAAGAAGGGTAATATGGTTAATTTATATCAAGCTACAAAAATGAAAAATAAAAAATTGAAATATAAGTTTTAGTTGTTGAATGGTTGCCACATGGCAGGGAGGTTGACTTTGAAAAAACAAATAACACTAAAAAGTTGATTGTATTCTATTGTAATGTCTCTCTCTCTCTCTCTCTGCTCTCTGAAACTAAAACGCCCAGACTTCTATTGTATCCCTTTCTTCTACTCATGGTACGTATTGGCTTCTTTTCCAAACTCAGTTGCCTTCTATTTTGGTGTCTTCTTGGACTCAGATACAATGATCATGATTGTGGTTTGAATGCACGACAATTCTGTGGACTAACAAAAAACTGATTTTTCGTTCTTCCTGTTCTTGAAACGGAAGCAATTGGGGACTTAAGGTTGGCGACTAAGGACGACGACGGACAAAAAAAAGTTTGAAAGGGCGAGCGACAATTGGCTATGACAACGAGTGAGAGAAAAATAATGACGACGACTAAGCCGAAAGTTATGGGTAATCTTCTTCTTTTTTTGTCTTTGTCTTAGTTTAAAACAAAATTGTTGTGTGTTTTTCATTTGGTTCTTAGTGGTTAAATTATAGAGCCTTTTAGAAGGAACAAAAAAAAAGGTTACTTTCTAGAGTGAAGTCCTTTTTGGTGCAAAATATGGATTCTTATAACGTCTATTAGTTTGTGAGGTAATTGTTCAACTTCTGTCCCAGTTCTGCTTAAGGAATTTCAGATTTTGCATTGCCATTGGTGCCTTTTGTCTTGATGAGAATCGTCACTTGAAGGTCCTGTGAAATTTTTGTTGCAACATTTTAAACTATTTAGTCTTTCGGATAGGGAATATTGAAGCTAGGACTTCTAGTGTTCAAATTAATTACATATAAGATTTATTGATAGATAATGGGAAAGACACATCTTGCATCAAATGATTACTTTACCATATATGATTACTTTCCACTTCTCAAATGTATCATACATCCTAATTAAACAACAGGAAATTGATAGATTATTCAAAAAAGTATACGGGATTTCTTGTAATAAGCCAATAAAGTCCAGAACTCGTCTCTAAAAGCAAAATGTACTAGAATGGATCTTTTACCCTGTTTAATCTTGAAGTTGAGGAATTTGCTACATGATGAAAAGATAGACGTCTGACTTGAGTACATAAAATGTATCAAAATAGAATTCCGTTTAATTACTTCATTAGAACTTTCAACCCAAGTACGTAGTTGACAAGTAAATCAAATGATCAGAAAGAGCATTATTTACAGAAATCTGATGGTTGTGTCATAATTCACTTCTCAACAACTTTATAATGTGGTCAATTGCTTGTTCATCAAGATGTATAGTATGTCTCCTCATTGGCTTAGAGACTGGTGAAGATTGATTGGTGATAGGATAAGTCATATTTTATCTTTCAATATTTTTTGGCCTACTATTAAAGAACGGTGGTTATTTTGATGGTTATTTGGACATTTGGTGATTATTTTGATGTTCTCTGTTCGATTGATGGTTATTTTGATTGGATAAATTGCAAATTTTGCCTTGTTTTATGGTTATTTTGATGTTTTCTGTTGAATAATTGATGGTTATTTTTATGGGATCAGTCACAAATTTTGCCTTGATTGCTGGTTACTTTGATGTTATCTATTCAATTGACAGAATATTAAAGAATGATATATTTTGTTGTGTAAGGTATCATTCTAGCGATGATTTCAAGTGTAGAGCTAATGTTAGAAAGATGGAGATATCATAAAGGCAAGGAGACTGAAGTATTCTAGGAATTTACGGTTTTGGCAACATAAATTATTTTCGAGACAACTTTTGGAAGCAACAAGATAGAAGGGGAAATATATGAAATTTTTGTAATTTGTGGCTACTTGGTTTTACACTTTGCTTCTCTTTTAATTCTACAGTACCATTTTTTTGTCTTTGCACAAAGTTTGTGGAAACCTACTTTCTTGGTATTGAATTCTCTATTCTTAGTGGGTTTCAATTGACAATTTTTTTTTTTTTTAATATAAATTCGTTAGTAATACTAGTACTTTGTTTTATTTAGGTTTAAATTGACAAAATTGAAATATAAATGTCAATGTAGGGTTGCAACAACTATAAGGATAAAATGGTAATTTTACAGGTTTCAATATTTTAAAAATCCAACGGTAACTTCACAGATGTGAAACATTATTTTTAATAAAAAAAGGATAAATTGGTAACTTAATTTTCATAAAAGTTGAGGGCATACTAGTGATTTCATTTTTAAAGAGTGGGTATTTTGGTAATTGATTTGTTGATATTAAAAAAATAATAAAAAAATAATAAAGTCAAATATATAAGGGTATTTTTGTCTTTTCAGTCAAATATTAACAGAAAACACTAACAAAACCTAACGGAGGGTGGGAAAATGTCATTTTGAAACTTAATGGGTGGGAAAGTGTCGTTTTGCCTAACCTTGGGGGTGAAAAAGTCGTTCTCCCTTTAACTAATAAGATTTTGATTATTTTAACTTAATGACCACCTCTTTAACTAATAAGATTTTGATTATAAAAAGTTGATCAACCTGAATTTTAATAAACGGAGATTAAAGATGGGCGAGACATTGTGTGTTTCTCAAACCAAAGGTGGGAAATGTAAATTCGATAAAGTTGGGTGGAAAAAATTATTCGGCTCTTTTTATGGTAAAACTTAAAGCCAACTTAAAGTCCCCAAAGTGTTCTGGAAAGTTAAGACCACCCCATATCTTAAAACAATTCACTTCACCATTCAAATAAAGTGCGTGATTGTTCCAAACTAAAAGTAATTTCACATAATGTCATATCAAGTTTATCTTGTTTAGAAGAACTGTATATGAATAATAGCTTTGTTCAATGGGAAGTTGAAGGGCTCAACTTTGAAGGAAGAAATGCTAGCCTTGATGAGTTGAAGCATTTGTCTGAATTGACATCTTTAGAAATACATATTAAAGATGCCAATATTCTACCAAGAGATCTTGTTTCTAAGTTGAAAAGATAGAGGATATTCATAGGTGATGAGTGGGACTGGTTCAGTGAGTATGGGACTTTAAGAACATTGAAAATCAAGGTCAATACTAGCATTTTTTCCGAAGCGTGGGATTACCAAGCAATTGAATGGAATTGAAGAACTATATTTAGATGAATTGCTGGGTGTCAATAATGTTCTTTATCAATTAGATGGAGTAGGTTTTTCATAATTGAAGCATCTCCACATTCAGAATAATTCCTCCTTTCAATGTATTGTTGACCCAATGGACCGGGAACCCGGTCATGCTTTTCCGCTCTTGGAGTCATTGTCTCTTCAAAACTTGATTAACTTGGAGATGATATTTAAAGGTCAATTCACTGTAGAGTCATTTTGCAATTTAAAATTCATAAAGGTGGAAAAGTGTGATAAGTTGAAAAATGACTTCTCATTTTCTATTGCTAGAGGGCTTCCACAACTTCAAACACTTGAAGTCATTGAATGCAGTAATATGGAAATGATTTTTTTTCCTAGAAATGAAGATGGCATTGAAGAGATTTATGCCACTGAAAGTAAAGATGACTTCGAAGATATTTATGATGATGATAGTGAAGATGACATCAACAACAATGAAGTGATCGATAAGATTGCAATAGTTTGTATACGCTCCTTGACTTTGAAATCACTTCCAATACTCAGAAGCTCTTGCTTGAAAGTAACATGGTCTGATAAAGTCGTTTTGGAGGATGAGCTTGACTCAAACATACCACTTTTTGGTGAAAGGGTAAGTTAATCAGAACCTTTTTTTTTTTTCTTCATTTTTATTCACTTTTCTTCCTCTCCATTATTAACAAATACTGGAAAAATAAATTGCTTAGGGAAAAGGAACAGAAATCTAAACCCTTGGGGATGTCATATGTCCATGATAAAAAGTTGTACTTTTTAGATTTATTCGAAAGAATATTGAAACATTAACTTTCTGCAGGTCCTGTTTCCCAGGTTGGAGATGTTGGAACTGGCTGAAATTAATGTTCAAAACATTTGGCACAATCAACTTCCATCAACGTATTCTTCCATCCAAAATTTAACACATTTGATCTTGCGGGGATGTGGTAAATTAAAATATATCTTTGCATCTTCAATATTTAGAAGCTTTGTGAAGCTCCAGCACCTTGAGATAAGCCATTGTGCAGTTCTGGAAGAGGTAATAATCATGGAAGAGTTAAGAGAAGAAGAAAGGAAGGGCACAATCTTAAGGAATGACAAAATCTTCCCTCGTTTAGAATGCCTGGTGCTAAAGGACCTTGAAAAACTCACAAGATTTTGCTCAGAAAATTACATTGAATTTCCATCCTGAAACAGTTGGAGATAGAGCAAGCCCTCATTCAAGGCATTCCTCTTGACAAACATAACCACTGACTTAAGGACATTCCACCTTCTTCAATGAAAAGGTAGAAGACACTAAATTATTTACCTTTTTCTGCTACTTTCATATCTCGTTGTACTAATCTTTGATCTTCTGATCTTAATTTATCCGGATAAAAATTTTCAATTACTTCCTTTAGAATTAGAAATAATATTAGTTACTCTATGGCATGAATCCTACAGGTTGCATTACCAAGCTTAGAGGAACTGGTAATTTCTGGCATGGATAACTTGAAGATGATGTGAACTTCCAACTTTCTGAGCATTCTTTTCAAAAACTAATTAATGAAAATCAAGAACTGTGATACTTATTGACTATTTTCCTTCCAATATCTGTGAAAGGTTTTGGCAGTTAGAATCACTAACAGTTACTGCTTGTGGTTCATTAATGGAGATATTTGATCTCCAGAGGCTAAATTTTGAAGAAGAACATTCTAAACCTCAGTTAAAAGAATTGTGTATCCATGGTCTACCAAAAGTGATGCATGTATGGAAAAAGGATCCCCAAGTAATGCTTTCCTTTCCCAAGCTGCAAATAGTGAAGTTTCTAGTTGTCAGAATCTAGAAAATCTTTTCCGGCCTCCATTGCCAGTAACCTTTTTAAACTTGAAGAGCTTGAGATGGTTAATTGTGGAGTGGGAGAGATTGTTTCAAAGGAAGACAAAATTGAAGCAGCTGTTAGGTTTGTCTTTCCACATGTAACCTTCCTCAAACTCTTATTGCTTCAACGACTTAGATGCTTCTATCCCGAACATACTTCAGAATGGCTGGTTTTAAAAAGCTGGAGGTGTATGATTGTGATAGTGTGAGAATATTCACTTCAAAATTTCTTAGTCTCCACAAGTAATGAGCACCAACCAGAACAGGCTCTCTTCTTGGTGAAAGGTATGAGACCCATTTTCTCCTTTCGTTTTTTTTTTTTTTTTTTTTTTTTTTTTTTTTCCTGTTCCTTTAAAACTGTATATAGATATTAGGTCGAAAATTCCATCTCTTTTAACAAAATAATTTATCTTTTAATTGCCAAAGTTAAGTCAGCTAAAACTATTACATATCAACTTCATTCAGTCAAGTATACTGAGTTCACATTTTTTGATAGTTTTATAAAATGTTTAAGTATTCATCTGTCTAATTATGGCAGCCTGAAATCTTTTTTTGATACTGTCTATTTTATGAAATTGTCAAGAGGAACATCAACTTCAATTTTCCCTTGTTTATTGGTAACTAGGTCTTCCCTAATTTGGAGGAACTGAAATTAGGGGGGAAGGTCGTGGAGATGATATGGCAAGGCGCATTTCCAGACCACCTCTTTCGCAGACTTGAAGTTCTTCACATTGTGAAAGATGATTCAAATGTTTTTCCTCTTCATTCCTTTAAGAGATTTCACAATCTGGAAAAGCTCATTCTAAGTCATGTTTCATGCAAAGAGATATTCTCACATGAAGAGGTGGAAGGACATGCCAGGATGTTGACACAGATTAAAGATTTGAAGTTGTTTAAACTGTCTAATCTAAAGTTTATGTGGAAACAAGAATCAAAACTGGGCACAATTCTTCAAAATCTTGAAATTCTTGATGTATGGTGGTGCAGTAGTTTAATTAATTTGGCGCCATCGTCAGCATCTTTCCAGAATCTGACAGTTTTGGAAGTGTGGTTTTGCAAAAGATTGACGAACTTAGTAGCATTCGCAGCAGCCAAAACCCTGGTGCAACTCAAAGAAATGAAGATTTGTGGATGTGAAATGATGATAGAGGTAGTAGAAAATGAGGGATATCTAATAGAAGAAGCTGAGATTACCTTTTGCAAATTGAAGAGCTTAACTCTTTTTGGTTTAGAAAGTCTTAGAAGCTTCTGCTCTGGGAATTATACTTTCATATTTCCATCATTGGAAGAATTATTTGTAATAGAATGCCCCAATATGAATGTTTTCTCTAGAGGAGTTTTAAGCACACCAAAATTACAGGAAGTACAGCAGAGGTGGGTAGCAGATGCATGGCGTTGGGATGGTGATCTAAATACAACCATACGACAGTTGCATAAAAAAATGGTACGTATAGATTTGCTTATCTAGCTCCTTATTTATTTTTTTCATTTTTTTTTTGGATTGTAGAGCGACCTTTACAATATCTAGTTTAATTTCTTGTAGTTAGGTCCTGCTTTCACTTGAATTTGCTATGCTTTATGGTTACATAATGACAAAACTTCTAAAGAAGATTGAGGTCATCTTCTATGTAGTTTGCGAGGCATTATGGTTTGTGTATCTTTTGAAATTAGAGGGGTCCTTAAGTCATGAATAGGGGGTGACAATTAATTTCTCCTTATATACTATAATTCATCCTTATTGAAGAGATAGGTCAATATACTTAGTCTTTCTTTATACAATTGTTAATATTTTCTAGGAAGTTGTTGGCTTAGTGCTCAATTTTTGATGGATGACAAGACTTTGGACTTAAATAAAACTTTTAAGACCTGGGGTGATATTATCAATTTTTATACAAATTTAAAGAAATGGGGTAATATTATCAACTTTTAGAATCAAGAGGGTAATATTATCCTTGAATATTGTTTAGAGTTTTTGCTAAGAGCCACATCTTGGTCTCAGACTAACAGTTTCATTCCAAATTTTTAAAGTCAGATATTAAAATTAGCAGAAAAAAGGAGTGATGTTATAAGTTTCTGAACCATAAATAAATGTTAAAATAATAAATAATAATAATATACTTCATCCTTTTACACTATGATTAAAGAGACAGGTCAAAAGACTTGACTCCACGTCAATTTTTATAGAAAGGTTTTTGATTAGTGCTCTAAATCTTCAATCATTTTTAGCTGGAGGAGATCCTGGAAAAAATAATGCACAGAGCAAGCAGTTGAGTGGTTGATGCCAGGTTCGTGGAAAACAACAAAAATGAGAAAAAAAATGATTTAGAATCTTAGTTAATGCAAAAAAATATGGGTGTGTTGTAATAATTTTCTGTTGTGATACTTATTTTAGTAATTATAGTTTCTTAGAAAATTGAGGTCGTCGAATTCTTACTCAAGCTAGGCTCAACCTGTTTCTCTGAAATCATACAAGGTGAATTCTAATGTTAAAAAGGATGTTATATAGAGTTGCGTTACCTCTTCGGTTTTTAAGCAAGTCTCGAATCGAAATATATGTATAATTTTGGTGTATAGTGTCAGCAACAAGCTATGATCTTGAGTTTATAGTTTATGTTATTAATCCCACCGACATCACTTGTTCATTTCTTTCAATTACTATGCGTCCCATATATTTAACTCCAAAGATCATGGGAAGTAAATAATTACCTTAGCAAAGATTGCTCCATAGAGAGTGGTAATTCTACGTAAATAGTGCCAACTATTGGGCTATTGGCCCGTTGTCCCTTTGTGGGATTTATGTACGTTTCAGCCCACAACCACTGACCAGTTATCTGGCCTTAACCAAGATGTATAAGCTTGATTGGACCCATTTTCTAGCCCATAAGTGATGTCCTTTCTAGCCCAACTTTTTTTTTTTTTTTTGGGGGGGGGGGGATAAACCCTATAATTGTATAAAATTGAAGTAAAAAAAAATACACAAAAGTGGAGGAAGACACAGGCTGATAGCCTTGGACAGGCCCAAGGAAACAGCAAATCAACGCCTAACGTCTAAGGATGTACATCTGGCCCAAAAAAAAATTGGCCTGATCAAAACAAAAGCCATACAAAAAGTTTCAATTAAGCGAGCCCAAACCAAGAACAGCCTCGGCCTAGCCTTGTCAACCAAAAGCCAAACAGGTCCATATCTCCCCCATTTTCAACATGTAGCAGGTACTCCAGAGTCCAGGGATACAAGTTTCCCCTCCCGCATAGGTTGGCCCTTCCACCACCACCTATTAGCACATAGAATTTTCCTATAGCCACCCTTACTCCAAAACGTCATCCTCAAATGGTCCATAAATGCTTACTCCACTGGGAGAATTTATCAAAAGCTTCTTCAAGAGAATGCTTTATTTCTTCAATCATTATTAGCTTGATCATGAAATACCAAAGCCACACAAAAATTGTCCTTCGGGTTTCTGCGCAAGTACACAATTTTGCAGGCGGAATTCTTCGGAGAATTCGGAAGAAACAGAAATGGCAAGTGGGTGGTGAAAAGCCTCGGAGAAGTTAATGTTATTCGGAACTTGATTTTTAACATAAAGCTTGAGTTCTATGCATTTATAAAAAAATTTAGTCTCAATTTGAAATAGTTATAAATAGGAATAAACTCCACATTACAATAAGTTATAATTTTTTTAATTTCCGTCTTAAAGAAAGTTGTCTCTACATAGTAATAATTATTTGCATATTATCAAAAAATATATATAATGTTACATTAAAGATTTAAGATGAAATAAAATATTTATCTAAAGTTATTTGGAACAATGATTTGTACTTTAGAGTTGTTACCACATCTTTTACTTAACGAGTAAATAATAATTTGTTAATATGAACACATTCTTATTGAAACCAAAATATTTTTAGCTTCTCAAGCGTGTTTAGAGCTTCATGACACGAAATTTTTACATTTCTGTACCATCATCCTCATGATTATTTCCTTTATCTTCTTGTCTAATTGCAGTAATGATTTCTTCTTCGGTTAAACATATACGATTTGTTGCTTATTTGGATGATCGAGGAAAACATTAATATCTATTCGATTAGTATAATGAAGTTGTCAAATCTGATTACTCAATTTCAAAATGACTTTTTTTATTTTTCTCGTCCATTTCATTTGTAGCTTGCAAGTCAGTGAAATCAAGGGTTTTAATTTTGCAATGCTTTAAACCATTAGCAATTATTTGTGGCTTCACATTAATTGATCATGCATCAACAATATTTATAGTTCTATCAATGATATTTATCTTTGTTAGTTCTGAGACACAATCTTCTATCCATTTCAAAAGTAGACAATTGAAGAGTTGAATTGAAATCCTAATATTGTACTACTAAAACATAAATTATAAAATAAGAAATCAAAATAATAATTTTTGTAACTACACATCCATTAAATTATAACCTCTTCATAGCAATAAAATTAGTAGGTTTTACAATTATGACTATAAAGAGGTTTTACTGTATATAGTATTATTCAAATATATAATAAAATAGTTGTAATTAATTTCTTTCAAAGTCTTGTATGCTAACAATAACTTGAGATCTTCATTTTAGTTTCACAGTTATCCCTAATCAAGAGACAAAATAATCTTATTCCTGATTTTGTAATCCTATAATTAAGATTAAATTAAGCCATCCCACAATCCAAAATTCACGGTGTATGGCATATATTTGGCTAGATTTTCACCTTATATTATTGGTAATAATTAAATACATTAACTACATGATATGCATGCATCATGCATCAACTTGTAAAACTATGTGTCTAGCATTGTGGTACGATAAACTTTCTCAAGTGCTCAAAAGATATTCACTCAACAATTTACACCACATCAATAATATTGGCTCCCGTTTAACACATTATTTCTACTCATATTCTCAATCTTATTCCCAAAATACTTGTTTGACACATTATTTGAGAAATATTAGTATATTTTTATAATTACTTTTAGACCTCTTAAGTTTATTAATTTCATAAATACCCTAAGGAAAAAAGTTTAAAAATTAATAAAATGTTGAAAAAGTAGCCTGCCCGGCCCGGCCCGGCCCGTTGCTGGCTACTCCTTTTGGCGGGTCGGGCCTAACCCGGACCGCCAACAAAGGCAAGTCGATTAGGCCCGCCACTTGTTAGGGGTTGGCTGGCGCAACCAGGCCCGCCAACCCTAACCCGCTGGGTTATGGTGCGGGCGAGGCCGAGTTAGCCCACCTCTTTTTTTATTTTTTCTTTTCTTTTGTTTTGTGTAATTATTTTTAGTTAACTTCTTTTCAAATATCAATAATTCAATTAAATTAATTTTTTTTTTAACATTTCAAATATTAATTCAATTTTAATACATTAAAATTGTAATATAAGAAAAATTAAATTTATTCATTTATCAAAAAATAAGATAAGAAATTACAATAATTATTGTCTCGTTAAAAATCTCATCAAGAAAAACCCAATGGGACAAAAACTTAGTAAAGAAAAAAGAGTGCAATAATTGACAATTAATTTACAAGTTACAATTTACAAAACAACTAATTTTGGGGTTGACTAGGACCTCCTTCATCCGTATTATCTATATTACAAAATTGAAATGATTCTATTAAAATATCGTCGACAACCTCGTATTGATCTTGATGGGGCGACCGTTCCCAATCTTGAAGACATGTGAGGACTTCAATCATTTTTTGTGAAAGTTTAGTCATTCTTTTATTTAAAATTCTTCCACTTGCACTAAATGTTTGTTCGAATGAGACGGTTGAAACAAAAACAGCAAAAACATCCAAGACAAGTCTTAATAATACCGGAAAAATACATTTTCTGGTTTTCCAATATTCTAAGATATCAAAGTTGGCTCTTTGTTGTGGATCTGTTGGTAACATTTTGGGAGTTCCCAAATATTGTTGAAGCTCGTTACTCTGTGACTGCATGGCAGACAGTATATTCGTTGTTGTCGTTGGTGCTTCTGAAGAGGAGGTTGTGCCTGTGCTTCAGGTTCGGGTCCTCTTCGGCCTATTAAATGCGCTCGAGGTGTAGAAGTCTTCATTTGTTTCTTCTTATGCAACTTCCCTGTGTATTTCGTGTCTTTACGGGTTCCCATACCTGTTTTCATATTAGAAATATACCTCTACAAGATAATTTTTTACCTCTCCTATTTGATTGGCAAATGTTACGTTTTGTAAATTTTCAGTTAATGTCTCCAAATCATTTTCTAAACCTTCTTGTTTAATTCTAGATCAAGTATAGCACTTAAACAATAAAGAAAAAGAATGAGTTTAAAATATTTAAAAAAAAAAAAATTTCCATTGCCTTTATTGGTTTTTTTAAAATTTCATTGTTTTTGTTTTTTGTAAATAACTCTGAAATTTTTATTATTGTATGATTTACCAATGGACTAGTAGAATAATACACACCAGAAAAGTTATAAAGTGGATTGCTAAAAAAATTAAGAAAAGAATGAAATACTTTAGCTATTTGCCAATCATTTTCTACCAAATAATGAAGACTTCTATTATTTGCTACAAAATAACTAATTATATTTGCATAAGGTAAACATGAATCAAGCATTAAATAAGTACTATTTCATCTAACAGACATGTCTAATGCAAAAGTTCTCGGAGACATATTTGATTTTATAAAAGCATCTTGAAATTCAGCATTTCTTTTATTACTACTAGTAATCTAAGCTAAAGATTCTCTAATTCTATCAATATTATCTTTAATTGTTTTCATGCCACTTTTCACAATTAAATTAATAATATGACATGCACAACGTTGGTGAAAAAACTTCAAATTGTTATAAAAATGATAATTAATTTTAAAAAAATCTATAACTATACCATTATCTAAAGTTAAACTTATCACTTTATTAATAACATCATAATCTTCTAAAACTTCAATAATTTTATTGTAAATTTGTTGACCACTATGATCCACATCCATTAATTTAAATCCTAATAAAGATTTATTTAATTTACATTAATTATCAAAATAATGACAAGTCACACAAATATAATCTTGTTTAGCTCTACCACTTTAAATATCGGTAGTTAGAGCCACACTGACATGACAACTATATATTTTATTTTTTAATTGTAATTTCATTTTCCCAAACAATTTTATTAAATCATTTCTAGTTGTAGTTTTAGAATAACTTTTAAATCCTGGAAAAAATGAATTTTTAATAAATCTTTCAAAATATTTATCTTCAGCCATATTAGTAGATTGATCAGTTGCAGTAATATATAAAGCTAATTGT